TTTCCCCCCCCCCCCCCACCCAGCTAGTTGGTACAGGGATCTAAACTCTTGACCTTGGTGTTATAACACCCAAGGTGAAGTTCTGTTTGTTTGAAGAACAATTGTATTGACATTAGCCTTATTAGCTCCAGAGGGTGACTGATAAAGCAAACTGTCCCTGGCATACTGTCTGGCAGGCAATCATGGGGCATTTCAATATTTCACCCAGCTGCTCCCTGAGAGAGACAAAACATGAACCCTTACTATGTAGCTTGAGAATGATAATTACAAAGATAATGTGGAAACTTGGAGATTTGAGATATGTTAAGTAAAAAAGCAAACTGCACAACTGTACCTCCACTGTGGTTATAATTCTGTAAATATGCATGTATGTATACATGTATATACATACATACCCCCCATACTGTTCAAAGACTAGAAAGGACCACCTAAAATGTACACAATTACTGAAAATTGGTAAGATTATGAATACACATTTTTATTTCTTTAAATCTTTCTTCATCAATGTCACTGTATTGTCATTAAAATGAGGAAATGTGATTTAAAAAAATCATTGCATAGTCAAAGAACACTAGGTAACAGTAATTCTGTAACAGCTCATCATTCACCTTTGTCACTACCACAACCTCCTCCCTCGCACACAGAAGACTTAATTAACCCAGGTGTCACTACGCGATCACTGACATCATGTCATTGAGTGATGTCACCCCTTACCTTTCAACCTCTTCCTTCTCCTTCCTCTCCCTTTCCTCCTTCTCTCTCTGCTCTCGAGCCAGCCGTCTCTTCTCAGCCAGAAGCCTTGTGGCCTCTTCTGGGTCGGTGGTTCCTGCAGAAGTCTTAGGAGAAGCACTGGTAGTCACAGTGTGTGACGGGGCTGGGACCGAGGCTGGAGCAGGGGCTGGGGCTGGGGCCAAAGCTGCGGTTGGGGCCATGGCTGGAGCAGCTGTACAAACAGGTACAAGGAGAAAACCAATAGGAAACAAAACCCAAAGAACAAAACAAAAACGAGCATTCCCCACACCTCAGGTCTAGAATTCATCATTACATAAGAAAGGGGAATGTTTATTACTGTGTGTTCTCATGGTTTCACTGTATTCTATTTGTAACCAAGCAACAGATGACAAAAAACTACAAGTGTAAGTGAGACATTCAACAAAGCTAACACTCTCTCACCAAGTCTTATTTTTATACTAGTTAAATCAGGGAACAATGTATATTGAATGTGTACTTAGCATACAGAGCCTCATGTTAGATTCTTTAGGAAGTTATACTGAGCAAAAAGAAGATGAGATCTCCCATTTGTCTTTTATTACATTTTAAAAATTCTTACTCTTGTGACTATTCACTGTAAGAGCACTAAAGCCTTTCTGTGACCATCATCGGCTTCCAAGCCACAAGTCCAGATTCAGGCTGGGAAGACGACACCCAGTGAAGAGCCACTGTTGGTCTGCCCAGTGCAGTCTCCAGGTCTGAGCTGGGAGGAGCCAGGGCCTCTTCAGGAGCTGGCACTGACATCGCTTACACCTCCCCACCTCCACTCTTGAGTCCTGACACCAAGATGCAAGACGGTAGCAGCAGTTCTCTGGCCTTGTTCAGATTTAGAAAGATAACTTAAGGGCTGGTGCTGCAGGGAGCCCCACCCTGAACCTCACGGTTCTGCACCACAGTAGGCACCTGACTACTCCAGACCCTTTTTCAAGACTCACATTTCTACTTCTGCTAAAGAAAGGATTTTTTTCTTTTTTTTACCATCATGATGCTCTCTGGCCCTTCTCTCTCTTTCCACACAAGCAAACACTGAACTCTTCCATTCTTTAACATCTGTTTGAGTAATCTATTCTTTCTTTGCCCCTATCCTCTATCTTTGAATTAAGCCTTCAGTGGAAAACTTTTGAATAAAGACAACTTTCAATAAGAAATATTGAGGGATGGCCAGTTACTCAGTTGCTTAGAGTGTGATGTTATAACACCAAGTTGACCCTGTACTGGCCAGCTACCAAAGGAAAAAAAAAAAAAAGAAATATTGAATTCCTAATTCCAGGTGATTTTAGATTTCTAAATAGTATCTGGTTGTCCTGGCAGAGATGAGAACAACTGGGTCTTCTGGAAAAAAAAATTCTGACCTCTGTCAAGCACAGAGCCCAAGCCAGTGCTCCTTAAACTCTAGCATGCACAGGAATAGGTTTGCCAGACTTAATTAGTTATGTTATATTTTATCTGGCAATCCTGCATAGGAATCAACTGACAACCTTAGTATCTTCCAGAATTATTGTTCCACCACCACATAAACTGATCCAGTAGGTCAAAGGTAAGGCCAGGGGTGTATTTTCAAATATCATAGATGTGATGATTTAAAAGTATTTCCAAAAAGTCTCTGAAAATCCTCCCTTCAAAAGGTGGATTAATCTCTCAACCTAGTGAGTTCAACCTAGTAACTGGCTTCTAATGAACAGAATATGGTAGAAATATCGGTGTGTGGCTTCTGAGGTGAGGTCATAAAAGACACTGTGGCTTGCTCCCTATTCTCTCCCAGATCACTTACTCTGAGGGAAGCAGCAGAGCAAGCACACAGACCATGAGGACATCAGGTGACACTATGGAGAGCTCCACGTGTCATGAAACTGAGGCCCCTGCCCACAGCCATGTGTGTAAGCCGTCCTCCAGCTCCAGCTGAGTCTTGAGATGATGGTGGCCCTGACTGACAGCGTGACTGCAATCTCATGAGACCCTGAGCCAGAACCACCCCACGAAGCTGCTCCCAAATCCTTAACCAAGATGCAGGTGATATAATAAATGTCTGTGGTTGTTTCAAAGTGCTAAGTTTTGGGGTAATTTGTTCCACAGCAATAGGTAACCAACACAACAGGTGATTTGCTGTGGGTGCTCTGAACACATTTTGTGAAACGCTGGACTCAGCCAGTGAAAGGACTCAGAAACCATGCCCGAATTAACACACTGTGGCTCCCACAATAGGCTTCTGGATGTACAATTCTACTGTTGTCATACATAAGAAAATTATACTTAAGGCCTCCAAATTGACCTCCCAATTCAATTTCCAAATCTCCAACAAGAAAAGAAAAAAAAGCTAAATAAAAGCAGCACTCCTGTGAAAAAGAGAAGTACAGACAGCGACCAACCCACATCCCTCATGAGTCAGTTCATTCTCACCAGGGACAGCTTCTGCTTCGACAGGTGTCCCTTCTTCAACTGTGGCTTCTTCTACCGTCACTAAAGGTGCTCTGCCCTTTAGCGAGGGCTCACTGGCAACTTTCTGAAGTTCCTTCTCGGGGTCTTTTTTCTCCGGTTCTACTTTGACCTCTCTCTTGACAGGGCGGATGTTGCCGGGGGATGGGGGCCGGGCCTGAGCAGCAGCAGCAGTTTTGACTGAGCCGGGAGGCAAGGAGGAGGCCGGTCTGGGTGTGCCAGGCAAATGAGGGAAGGACTTGGAGGGGAGCCTGCGCAAGAGAGGGGACACATCAGAACAGGCTGACCTGAGCCTAGAACACCAGCTCATGGAAAAGAAAGGCAGATATTGAGCTATGTGTATCTGTCTTTTATGAGCTAAATGCAGAAACAGAGTCACTTTGGAGACCCATTCCGATCCAATATTCCTTTTTTCTTTCCTTTAAGAAGGAATGTTATTTCCTAAGTCAAAGCAAAACCATGTGGGGAGAACAATTCGCTTTCAGAGGGCAGAGGCTACTAATACTCCACGTGGAGCAATCCAGCCAGCCTGTCATATTCCACTTACCAAAGCCGGGAGGGAGCTGGAGATCTTGCTTTGGGATTAGATGGAGACAGAGACCTTCGGGTGCCAGATGTAAGGTAGAAGGGTATATTTTCTCTTTCTCTTTTATAGCCCTAAGTTCAGAGAAACTCAATAATTAGGTTTTTCCATGAGTGAGACAACCATATTCACATCACAGTACTCAACAGGAGAACTACAAACCATTTAGTGACTTTTCAGAAATTTTCTAAACTATGTCACATATATACATATCATCTCAACAAAAGGCCTCCCTTAGCTTAAAACTGAACAATGTAACTAAATTAACACAATGTGACACTAATAAGGTGGTTCTGGGGTGATTTGGACTTATATTTGTAAAAAACAAAAAACCAAAACATTCACACTTTTAGAAAGCACCTATACTTTGTTTCTAAAATTAACTAGAGCAAAATCTCTGTTGGGTTTATTCCACACAAATGTAAAAAACACACCTTTTCTCTTTTAATGCCCCCAAACATACCATAGCTCAGCCTTTAAAAAAAAAAAAATTTACATGCCTGCTCTATCAGACATTATTTCTTCCTTTATATTGATGTTATAGAAACAAGTCCTTCCTCATCTAGTATCCTCCTGCTCTTGAGGAAAAGTCAGGTTCAAGGTGAAGAATTTTAGCTATTTTTACTCTTCTGTACCAGGGATGAAACTGAAATCTGAGGGTGAGCCAGAACACCAGCCCTCCCCTCACTGCCAACTAGAAATTCAGCCAGAGAGATGACACCTTTCTTAATTTGAAATGGGCAAAGGGAAGCCAAGAGAAGTGTTCTGATATTCTAAAATCAATCAAGACAAAAAAATGCACAAAGCAGAATAGACCCATTGCAAGTACTTGACACTTCTCGACAAGGCCCTGGGATGGGAATGGATGCATGCTGGAGACACCCATGTGAACACATGTCAGGAAAGCAGACCGCAAGTGTGCTGGGGAAGGGGCAGACTACGACCTACTCTCAGGGAAAATAAGCTGTAGTGCACCTTTTCTTTTCTTCTTTTTTGCCTGGCCAAGCATCAACTCCTTTCTTCCTTCCCTTTTATTCCTCTCGAAGTGCCTTCTAATGGCTTCTTTCTATTTTCCTTAGTAGCATACTAATTGATGGACTGGGCTATAGGAGGGGGAAAACAATCTAAGTGTCATACAGTACTCACTGTCTCCTTGGCATCTCTAGCAGAAGAAATGAAGAACAGGGCAAAAAAGAGTCTCACAAGGTGTGTGCTACCTCTGATCATTTCCAGCTACATGACTACCTTCACCCCCATTTCTAGTCCCAAAGGGCAGGAGGTGAGGCCTTGCAGAGCTGCTGCAGTTCTTGGGTAGCAAAAGCTGCAGCCACCATATGGGATCCTCTTGGCTGGTGTACAGGCTGGCAATTATGTCTCTGGCAGACCAGTCTTCAGGGTGGAAGGCCCAGGGCTCTTCCCAACCGGAGGTTGGGGTTATAAGCACCTAGAGTAGCCTTTTTCTTTTTCTCAGAACATTTTAAATTGGCTGAAATCAGATCAAGGAGAGATCTGAATGGGAAATAAGTCAGGAAGGGTAATTTGTGATGTGAAGAGTTTGGGGACAAATTGCATCATCTGTGCCTTGATGAGCCTGGGATCAAGAAATGAACCTATGTAAAAATGCATAATCCTCCGTCTTTTTACTAAAGTGCCACTGAGCCAAGTACTTCTTCCTCTCCTAAAACTGATCTCCTTTCATTACCTAGGGGTAGGGGGCAGGGGAGGAGTGATTTGGGAAAAGGCTCAATACTTGAGGTAATCCCCTCCCAAGCTCTTGTATCCAATCACCTATTTGGGTACCACATATGTAAAGGCATCCCTGACTCTCATCCTGATCTAATAACCAGTCTGTACAATCACCTTTCCTTTGAACACTTTCCACAATGCTGAAAGGTAACACACACAGCAAGCTGCCCATGTCAGTGGTTAAGACAACCTACCAGCAGGAGAAAGACTTTAATTTCACAATTACAGGTAGGCTTAGAATATAAATATCCTTCTAGAGAGACAGAATGAATACATTGACAGATACTCTAAGGCAGTCCTGTCCAATAGAACCTTCTGTAATGATGAAAATTTTCTAAATCTATGCTGTCCATATGGTAGCTACTAGCTACATTTGGTTATCTGAACTTAGATATAAATTAATTAAACAAAATTAAAAATTCTATTCAGTCTTACAAAACATTTTCAGTGCTCAGTGCCCATTTTCAGTGACCATTTGAATTTAGATCTAAATTAATTAAAATTACATACAATAGATAAAGAAATTAAGACAACAATTCCATTTATGATAACATCAAAAAGAATAAAATATTTAGAATAAACTTAACCAAAAGGTCAAAGACCTGTGCATTGAAAACCAGAAGACGCTGCTGAAAGAAATGAAAGTTAACACAAATAAATGGGAAGTGATCCCGGAGTTAATGGAATGGAAGACTTAACATTATTAAGATGTCAATACTGCCAAAAGGTATCTATAGATTCCATGCAATCCCTACCAAAATTCCAATGTCATTTTCTTGCAGAAATGGAAAAATCCATTCTAATACTCATATGAAATCATAATGGACCCTGGGAGCCAAAAGAATCTTGGAAAAGAACAAAGATGGAGGTCTCACACTTCCTGTTTTCAAAACATTACAAAGCTACAGTAATCAAAACAATGTGGTAGTTATAAAGACAGACATATATAGACCAATGAAATAGAACAGAGAACCCAGAAAAAACCCTTGTGAGTACAAATGCCAAGACCACTCAACGAGGAACATATACTCTTCAACAAATGGTGCTGGTCAAACTGAATATCCATGAGCAAAGAATGAAGTTGGACCCTTACCACATACAATACATGAAAATTAACTCAACATGGTTTACAGACCTAAATATAAGACTTAAAACTATTGCTCAGTTGGTTAGAGGGTGGTGCTGATAAAACGATAAAATTACTGGAAGAAAACACAGATGACGCTAGATTTGGTACTGATTTCTTGGAAGCAACACCAGAAGCACAGGCAACAGGGCAACAACAGACATACGACAATATCAAACTTAAAAACTTCTGTGTATCCAAGGACACAATCAACAGAGCAAAAAGGCATGGAATGGGAGAAAATATTTGTGAATTATCTACTTGATAAGGAATTACTATCCAGAGTACATAAATAATTCCTACAACTCAACAACAACAAATCAAATAACCCAATTAAAAAATGAGCAAAAGACTTGAATAATTTCTCCAAAGATGATATACAAACTGCCAATAAGCATTCCAAAATTCTCAAAGTCACTGATCATTAGAGAAATGTAAATCAAAACCACAATGAGATTTCATCTCAAATCCTGTATGATGGCAATTATTAGAAAAACAGAAAACAAGTGTCAGTAAGGACGTGGCTAAATTAGAGCCGTTGTGCACTGTGGGTGGGAATGTAAATGGTGCAGCTGCTAGGGAAAACAGTATGGAGGCTCCTCAAAAAACTAAAAATAGGATTACCACATGATCCAGCAATCCCACTTCTGGGTATATACACAAAGAACTGAAAGAAGGATCTTGGAGATCTGCACTCCCGTGTTCTTAGTGGCATTATTCACAATAGCCAAGAGGTAGAAACAACCCAAATATACATCAATGGATGAAGGGATAAAGAAAATGTGGTGTATACATAAATAAAATGGAATAGTATTTGGTCTTAAAATAAAGGAAATTCTAACACACGCAACGAAGATAAACCTTGAGGACATTAAACTAAGTGAAATAAGCCAGTCACAAAATTTCAAACAATGCACGATTCCACTTACATGTGGTATCTAAAGTAGTCAAGAAACAGAAAGTAAACTGGTCCTAGCAAGAGTCTGAGAGGAGGGGGAAATAGGGAGTTGTTTAATGGGTACAGAGTTTCAGTTGTGTAAGATTTAAAAATTTCAGGAGATTGGTTGTACTACAATGTAAACATACTTAGCACTGAACTTAAAAATGGTTAAGATGGTAAATTTTATGTCAGTTTTTAAAAATCAAAAACTCAGTTTGTCAGTCTCACTAGCTACATTCCAAGTGCTCAATGCGACTAGTCACTACTGAATTCCACAGTGAAGCTCTAGGGTATAAATGTGATTTTCCGACACTAGGTATTTGCCTAAATATTTGGTTGTAAGGAGGTGAAAAGACAGCTAACTGATCAAACCAAGAAAGAGGAACACACTTGAAAAAAACCCCAAAACAAATGACAATGACAAATCCATCTCATTTAATCTGTTAGCTAAGGGCCAGCCCTCCATCTTCCCTCAAGGAATGCTAATATTTTTGTTTTTACCCATAACAAAATATTTCTACTTTGGAAAGTGGTCTTTTCCCCTGCCCAGTAAATACCCAATGTTTGGGGCCAAAGCTGTTTTAACTGGCTTTGTCCACAGCCAGGATCCCTGAAGGCACCAACACAACAAAAAATTAAAACTTCACAGATATCAAAGGTAGTTTCGTCTTTGGCTTAGACGGCTGGAAGCCTGACTCAATCAAGAATTGAACACTGATTCCTGAAAGCTTGAAAGGGTTTGAAAGAAAATTGCCTGTAGGCAAAACTATCAAGCTCTCACAACCCTCAAATCATCCTCTAAGCAAAATCCTTTTAAGTGTCCATCAGCTTTATAAATCTAATTGCTTTGGGAAATTAAGATTTTTAAAAAATTGTTCCAGCCTTTCATTAAGGCTCATAACTACTATCATGAGAGAGAGGAAATGAGATCTTCTGGATGATTGGTGAGTCCCTCAGGACTAGAGTACAATGTCTGAAGAGCATAGGACAATGTCTACCTCTTTCAATAGATACCGAATAAACACAAAGTTTAAAACAAAGAAGAAGAAAGATTCCTGGAGACTTAGGAAATTACCTCACTGCATTTACAGCACGGTGATAATTAACATTAGCTCAGCCACCTTGCCAGTAACAAGTACAAATTTTATTCTTCACTTGCAAAATCTGAGTTTATAGCAACAACCAGTAGCCTTTCAAGAATTATTTAGCAAATAACTCATGTTTACAAAATACTTTTTTCACTGTATTTTGAGATCTGGACCTTGGCAGGGATTAGCTAAGCTGGAGAAAAATGATTTATCTTGCTGTTTAAGTGAACTGCATTTAGAGTTCAGCCAGTTTCTGGCTATGGTTGGAATAAAATGCCAAGGTAGCAAGGCCCACTTCCCTTCAAAGGCCATTTAGTTTTCTTACTTTCAAAAATATCCTGGCATTGCATTTATTTGGATAGAGGTTGCAGCAGTGTAGGTCAGCCACTCATACATGCTTGAACAAACAACCATTGCATCTTCAAATTCAAATTTTTAAGGAGAGTAAAACCCTAAGTTGAGAGCAAGTAGGGAGACACTACCACCCAGCCAGCCAGATTCGTGATTGGAGGGATAGATGGGATGGTGGATGTTGCAGTCTCCCCCTCTTCCACCCACACTGCACCTCAGGGTGTTGTCCAGTCTACACAGAAACATCACTGGCTTCCAGACTCGCCTGGCTGCTCCAACCAGCTACTCACCGCTGTGCCATGAAGGGTCTTCCTGCGTGCAGAGCCCTCAGGTGGTGTTACAAAGAGTTTTGGTCGATCCATCGGATTTCTAGAGTGTGCAGCTTTGTAGGGCATGGTGATGGGGCTGCAAGATGCTGAACGAGGACAAATGGGGATAACTAGGATGCAGGTGATTGGTTTTACACAAAAGAGTGCCAGAGGAGCAGGTGAAGAAAGCCAAAAGCAGGTTCAGGAAAAGGAGCAAAGCAGAGACAGAGAGAAAAGCAGGGAGAAGATATTATTACCTAAAGGTACCCAGAACCATCATTCTCAACTCTCCTCACAGTCCTATAAGTTTATGATGTGCCCCAAAGGAAGGCAAGTCCAAGTGAAAATTCTGGAATACATTGTTAGTTATTTGGCTAGTTAAATAATGATTAAAGATATCGATGTAATCCAATACTTATGGAGAGCAATAGCCTTATATTCCTACAAATTGATGGTTCTGGTAAAATGCTATATCAGTGATATAAGATAATTTTTATATGAAGATTGATTTATAATCAGTTTTTCCTAATTAGCTTTAAGATGGAACAGAAGGTGGAAAGAGAGGAAGCGTGCAAGCAGACAAGAAAGATATACTACCACTATTTCAGGATTCAAGCTCAACAGCCAGTGGGGGGAAAAAGCAACTGAATTTAAAAAAATGTTAAATGACCAAGTCTTACCAGGTGTTAAGACTTGTTACAAGGATAGCAATAATTTCTAGAAAAAATTCGGTGTTTTATCCATTTAAAGGCAAACCAAATGTGTGCTTCTGGATTTTCCCAAAAGCCAAGGCATTTGATGGTTTATAGCAGCAGCAGCAGAACATATGGGGAGATGGGATATAACTTTTTTAAATGGTGAATAGAACATAAATATGTTAGAGTTACAAAAAATAAGGCTGAATCATGAATAGCTCTTACAGTTTTACTCAAGACGAAATCTTTTTTTGAAAAACCATAGTTTCTGACCATTCACCTTCAAAGGAACAGTGTCATTAATCAAGTTATCCTGAGCAACAATAAAATTCATGTAACACTACACAGGTATCAAGAGTATAGGCACTAAGGTTCCAAGGCCCATTTTCAGATCTCATTCAGAAATCTTGTTTTCCACCAAAACTAAGACAATTGAACATGACCACTGAGGAGAATACTATGTATTTTGACTGGGATATAAAATGACTTTACCCAACCCAAGCTGTTGTGGCAACCTTTTAAAGAGATCATTATGCTAGCTAAACAGTATTAATAAATTAAAAGCTCAAAGTTTCACAAGTCAAATTTGGAGTAATCTTAATTTCAGGATTATAGAGTTTAAAAAATATTTGCTACTTTGGTTTAACCTACAGACAGAAAATTGATCGGACTGCATCTTTACTCGTGTGTTCTCTTTCATTAAATGCCCTGTAGTATCTTTTGGTTATCACTGGATGGTTAAGGCAGTGAATAGATTGGAAACTGCATCCTCCTTTTCCATCATCTGCAAACAGAATTCTGTTTCTTCAGGATAAACTAAAACATTCTGCATTCCCTCAATTCTCCTTAAAAGAATATGTGTGTCTTACTGGGGAATTGACATAAAGCTTAATGGTGATGGAAGTATTTGTATAGTGAGGAAGATCCTCTTGTCATTTTGCTTGCTGTGATCACAGGGAAAACTACTTGAAAATAATCTTTTCTCAAGTGCCATAACCAGGCATTTGCATTTCCCAGACAAGAAAGAGTTCATTAATACAAAACTCTTCCAAGCCTAGCAAATGCATTTAAGGCATAACTTCCAGACACAAGGCACTTCCGGGGATTAATGACCAGGAGGAGGGATACTCGCTGCCCAGGGCCCCGCCAGAGGCCATTAACCTTTGATCAAAGAGCCAGAAAAGTCTAGAAAACAGCCTGCTGAGGCCATGGGTTTGACACTGAAAAAGGAATGAAGCACAGAAATATTTCTTTTTCTTTTAGTGGAATATAACAATTTCAGGAGATCTCCATGGAACATTTCCTGAGACCATCCAGGATGTAAGCCAATCTCAACATGCCTTTTGGTTTATTCTTTATTTTAGTGTTGAGGTCATATGAAATATGAGTTGAAAATACCTTAAAACTTATCTAGTGTAGGTTATACAAAAAAATCCTCAAATTTAATTGTCCGAGGTACATCTTCTGGCTAAAATAAACATTATAAATTCCTTCTAAGGGTACTAAATTTCATGGAATTTTTGCTGTTCTGAACAGCAACTACTGAAAAACTTGAAACCTTCAAATCAATTATTTGAATCATCTTGTCCTTCTGAAGAAATAGTAAGAGCAATATATAGTTAGTCTTTTCCCAAAATACCCTCCATATCCCAAATAGTTTAATTAAACATGAACATTCGCTCACAGCAGTGTCTTTGAAAAAGTCTTCCACAGTATCTGTATTTCTTTTTACTCTTGGTAACAAGTGTGCATTAATTTAACTCATTCAAGATTCACTATACAAAATAATGTGTGCAGAAGCTGGCCAGTTAGCTCAGTTGGTTATAATGTGGTGCTGATAACACCAAGGTCCAGGATTCTTCAATCCCTATACCGCCCAGCCAAAAAAAAAAAGAATAAAAAAACTGTATAATAGGAATAAAAATTCATTTATTGAGGGCCTATTATGTGTAGGTGCTATTCTAAGTATTTTCATTTATTTAATCTTGAGCTCTGACAGTCACATGTATTTTGAATGTTCTGGACAAAAAAAAAAAGGGCAAGAAAAAGTCAACCCAAAGCAGTAGTTGCATATGAGAGGCCTGAGACTCAGATTTCCAATTCTCGGATGCTCTATTGCTTACTTGCTCAGGGAGTTTGTATTCAGTGAACATCCTATGGGTAAGGGTGGCTGTTTTAATATGCTAATGTAACCTCAACTCTGAATGTAGGTTACCCTCTTGCCAAAGGCCATTGGGAATAAGATGAAATCAAGGGACAACACTAAAATGGAGATAAGAAAGAATAATCAAGGAGAGTAGATGTAAAAATATGTGATAAAAAAGTCTCTCTGAAAAGACAACTGGAAGAGATGTTTACATATATAATTTCAAATGGAAATTAAAAAAAGAAAAATGAGTTTTGGTCCATTAAACATGAGCTGTTTCAATGCAATAGGTAACAACAACCTAGAGAATGTATCAATAAAACAGGCAACTCAAATGCAGAGTATGCACCATTTCACACTAAAATAAATTACAGAAATGCATCAATTTGTGAAAAGGAGAATACAAAAGTTGCAAAGTAAAACAGAGCCAGTTTGCAGATAAAAAGCACTTTGATTGAGCACAATGAAGAAGTAAGGGGGAAGATGTGCAAGTAGAATGGGTGGAAAATGAGGAAATGGTGTTGGAAAGGACTAGAGAAAGAGTGAAAGAATTGGCAAAAGTTAGTGATGACAGAAATAGCAAAGAAGGACAATTTCTAGCTGTGAGGCAGTCCATTAGCACAATGCAACATACGATGTAGAGATTCAGAAGTCTAATAGCCATATACTACTGAGATCCTATGAAGTAGGACTGAAGAGCAGTTTTAAAGGTTTTTCAACTAGCTAGACATGAGGAAAAACTTTCATGACTTGTATAGAAGTATGAAATTCATAGGCATAAAAAATGAACTATCTTCAAATAAGCTGTTTTCAGATACAACATGACAGCTCTGTTAGGAGTCGCTTTACAGAATACATAGAACATAGTGGTCTAGCTAGCTGACCTCACAACTGTACAAGAAGCATCACTCGGGATGCTGAGGATGAAGGAGTAGGCACATTTAAGATCCAGTCCACCTGTTTCCTAAGTGGCTCTGGTTAAAGTCACTTATTGTCATTACACCTGGTTTCCATAAGAAGGTGGTGGGGATGGCCACATGTGTTTTCTTGACTGTCTCTCAGGGGTACTGTGAGAAACAGGGTTGAAACTCAGTAGCTCAATGGGCACCATAGATGAAAGACACTATACAACCTCCAAGAATGATGATTTTTGTAAAGTGGGTTAATGAACATGAAGAGGCTTGCAGAGGCAAAGCATTTTTAAAGGGAACTTTATGAAGATGGTATGCAATTTCCTAAGTACCAAAGATGAGGTCTGGTAGACTGGTTACATAGATACACCAATCATTCCAAAGATACTTGGAGAAACCTAAAGCAACTCACCATGGGAGAAACGTTACCAAAAGCTCTGCACTAACTCACTAAATTAATTGGCTCATTCAGTCATGTTTTGTATTTCAAAAAAGTAGAAGAGTTACAACTAATTAAAATAACCAGAGCTAGGCATGTTTTACATATTTTCAAAGAATGCAACAATTAAGTACACTATAATTAGCCTTCTCCTCAAGTCTTGGAGTTTGGAAGGGTACTCTTCCTGGATTACATATAAAAGACTGGTGCAAGCAGGGTAGGTAGCTAGTCCACAGTCATGTTAAGCAACTCTAAGCTTAAATAATAAGTGTGTGCTTTGATTTTATTCCCATGTCCACTTATTAGTATTAAATATTAAATTATTTCTACCTTTGATCACCCGCTCAGATACAGAGGCCCAAACAAAGGAGGTAAAGGATACTTTCTGTGGGGATGTTATGAACAGACAAAAGCATCTGAAGCCACCTGATCATGGGAAGGGGCTGTGTCTGTCTGCCTGCTGTCTGTTGTGCAGGTAAGATGCTGAGGCAAGTGGTAGACAGGAAACCAACACTAACACACATTTCCACTCAGAGAAGAGAGAAATGCACACTAGGAAAAACTGAGATGTGATGAGATGAACATCAGTGCCTCACACATGCTTCAGAAGGAGGGCTTTACCTCACCAGGAAAGTTCCACCTTAATGGATTTACCTGCTTCTCCAGACAAGGCGGCTGTGCTTTTACTTCTGGCCAGGAACGAATGTGTGGGCGTCAGGAGTCTGTTAACAACGCTGCTCTCCCATGGGCTGAGCTGCAGGCGGCGAGCTAAACGTCACCACATAAGCAAGATGTTAGAAGCATTCTTTCCAGGGTCAAGAGGGCGCAGAATGTCATACCTATTGCTTCCATATGCTGGGCCTTCAAGAGAGACCAGGCTCTCCACAGAGTTGGCCAAGAGTCACAGCAACAGGAACCCTGCCCAAAGGGAGCAGCAATTCCATAATGTTGCCTTTCTTCAAGATGTTAAAGTTGTGGCAAGCTCTAAATTAGTTATATAGTCACAGATTTTGCTAACCATCCTTCCTTAGTAGTGGACAGGTAATAAAACAGAAATGTCATTTCAACTACAGATTTGGCATGTATCCATAACTCCAGGGCATATGTGTCTGATGGGCATGGGGTGGGCTGATGGCACACATCTCAGCCAAAGGGCTTCCTAGTAACCTTGAATAATACACCCCAATGGAGGTGTTGGCAGGCTAATGGAAGACTGGACTTACATGAAAGACAGAAAGGGACCCCATTAAGTTATGCTAGATCTCCATGAATTGCTGCTTGGGCAAATGGAGGTGGGGCAAAAATTAGATATAATAAAATGAAAGAAGACTCATGCAAAGTTCTGTATGGGATTTTTTTTTTTTGGACCTATTTAGCAAGCCAGGATCTTTTAGGTTCCTGTTTTGGCAACAATGTAAATATTTTGGCAGAATGAGACTAAGCCTGAAGCAAGATAAAATTAAGCAGAAAAGCCAAAATCCAGTATAAACATAATCCTGGAGATTACTAGTAGGTGCCTGAAGAAACTATAAAATAAATTTAAAATAATGCAATGATGTATGGTCCCAAACTACAATAGGACTTGGCAAGGCCACTTTAGGAAATACATGCAATTATAAATTAATCACTTTGCTTACATTGTGATTGCCTTCCAGTGATAGCCTATGAAAACATAGAAGCTATTTTCCAAAGATACCAGTTAATGAAGCTTGTAAAATCCTACAAATATCACTAAATTAAAGTTATCACATACTGCTATTTTAGAATATGCTCCTAAGTCACCTATAAAAGTCTTTAAAACTCTCTAAACCTGACAAGGCCACTGTTTTGGTTTTTGTCGTCGTCGTTGTTGTTTTAGTGGCTAGCCAGAATGGGGCTCTGAGCCTGTGCCCTTGGTGTCATAAGGCTGCACTCTAACTAATTGAGCTAACTGGCCAGACTTCGACAAGGCTGCTTCTGTTCTGCTACACAAACAGCAGGTGTGAGTCCCTATTGCCTCTGCAGTGGGTGTTCTTATAACAATCTTGCACGTGTCATATTTTAAAGGACTGTCATTTAAATTCTATAAAATTAGTTTTAGTTAATAAAAGCCACATATCAAAAAATATTTTAATACAAAATATTTGCTCTTATTTGGTACTTCCAAAAAGTACCTTAATTATCTGACTTTAAAGAGTAGCTATTTGATCAATGCTCTGATGAATTTAAGAACAAGTGAAACGTTTATTAGATTTTCTGTTTATTAGCAGAGTCTTCGTGGTTAAATTAAACATTATCTGACATTAAGACATTAATAAAAACTACTGCAATAGTTATAGAAAGCACCATGGGATAACTACTATAAAAACTATTAAAACTACTGTATGGCAGTATAAGTATAATAACAATAGAATGTAACACAATTTAAAATTACAACACATTGATAGAATAAAATCAAGTGGGGAAAAAGTAATTAGGATCAACTGAAAATCTCCAGTGGAACTGTATTTTCAATAGATGAGAAAGGGTAGAAAGGGAAGAGAGATGACTGCTTCCTTTCCTTAGGAAAACTGTAGGATGACTGTGGCTTAGAAATGCAGGGAAGAGTTATCATTGAAAAGACAACTCTCTTTTATCTTCTCTTTTAAGAAGTTCAATTACTTCATTTCTACAAGTCTTTAAGGCATCCACCAAAGAATTTGCCTCAAATGAAGTTCATTAAAAACCCACTTTAATTTGCATGTAAAGCAAATTCAAAAAGATTTGTTTTATACCTCCTGACATTGTATATGAAGGATTTTGCTAGGAGAAACATGTTTCAACTTCTACCACATTCAACTATGCCCTGGCCAAGACAGATATCTTCCATAAGAAAACTGGTTAGTAAAGGAGTGTTAGTTCATTGTTTTTGTTTTGTTTTGTTTCACCTAGAGTACCTTGCGTTTAAGTTGGAAAAGCTGAAGGAAGATGTATTAACTTTCATGGGACAATTCTATGCTACTAATCCTATTTAAGCACTTAAAAATGAGATAAGGACAGTTCCTGTGATAGACCACCCAGAAGAGGGGAGGAAAATTCAAAGGCCTCTAGATGCCATGCAGGTTAACAGAGATAAGTGACCTTGGCTAAACATTATGGATATCTGCACTACCTACCAGTTCCTCCTGTAGGCATGAAATCACTATTCGGTTTCAGGTAATGGGTGCCATGCAGAAATCAGGCAAGAATCAGATTCTGATTTTTTTATTAGAAGCAGAAAATCTAGATGTTATATGAAATCTTCCATATTTTAAATGTTGGCAATTAATTCAAACTAAATAACAAAAAACACTGCTCATGTAAAACAGAACAAGTCTGTGGGCAGAATTCAATTCGGGGTTCACCGCAATGTGCCCTGATGTAGATTTTAGGGAAAAAAATGTATTGACTAATTTTAAGCAAAGACTAGGCAACTTCATTCTTACTCTTCTCCCTATTGTTCTTTCTTCAGAAAAGGCTGGTTACGCTGGGAGCTAAAAGATAATAACATGCATTTTTAATGCAACATTCTCTCTGTTGTAGCAATTACAGAAACCTTTAATAATCAGAGGTTTCCTTTAACCCAGGCAATTTTATCAGTGCATGTAGCATCATATTCAGGTATAATAACCAAAATATTTTAAAACTGGTAGGGCACAGGCACAGAGCTAATGACGGGCCTCCATTAGCTTTGGAAGGCTAGGGAAGTTGCTATTTACCAAATGATATGGAAATATTTCAGTATTTTTAATAATCAGTGAGCTGTTTAGATGCATTCCAGATGAATGTTAGCCCTGTTGGTATCAGAGCCTCAATTTAATATCAGTTTTAAGGCCTAGGTCACAGGACTGAGAAAACTCAATCTAGTAATGATATATTACAAATGTTGGCAGATTTGTCTATAAAAGCCTCTAATTTAATAATCCGATACGAAAGCTATCTAATGAGATAATAAGGCATAACACACACTTAAAAATAGCAGGAAAAAAAATAAACTGAATTACTTAAATTTCTAAATTAGAGAAATTCAAATTCAGAAGAATTTCTTTTCTTACTAAAAGGCCTAAGCCTCTCACTACCCTATTGAGGATTTTGCCTATCTTAAAAAAAAAAAAAAAAAAATTTGTTTCTTGGACTGTATGGGAGCTCTGTTGAGGCCGACCTGGCCTATTACTATTAGACGAGGAATTGATTCACGGTTCTTTTCATAAAGGGACAGAGAAGCAGAACTCTCAAATTTAGTACTCTTGTCCCTGTCCTATTAGTCCAGCTTAGTATTCAATTTTCTAGGCTTGCACTATGATTCAAGGGGCAGTCTCCTTGCTCCAGCTATGAATTGGTTACCGAACTTCCTTTCACCCCAGTATCCTAACTCTCCACTTCTTACCTTACCAAGGGAAGAATGCTCGGAGTCAGAGTTGAGCTAAGGAAAGAAAGAACTGAGGATGCAGTGAGCACCTGGTGATCTTTGTTCTAGTCCCTCTTCTGCAACAATTAGCCTGTAGGATATTAAATTAGGTTCTTGACCTCTTAGGGACTCTATTACCCCAACTGGAGTAGAGGATCCATCCAACAGATCTTTCTCAGTTCTAAGATCATATTATTTCATATCCAATTAAGGACTATCATGCAGAGCCCATAAAACATCTTATAATTGATACAGACAATTTAGCACTGTCATTCCACAGTAGTGTGGACAGAATACTGGTTCAGCTTAGTGCCCATCTACTCACTCCCACCCTCACCCTAATTTCAGCCACAGGATTGTAGGAGGCAGTAAGCGAGGTATAACTTAAAAGTACTATAAAATCCTAATCGTAGTTTGTCTCAGACTCAGGTTCACAGAAGTATAAAATTAAAGTGCTGAGTAAGTGACCAATTCCAAAGAAAGTTGAACAAACAACTGTAAGTACAGCATTCACATGCTATATTTTATCTCATATTAAGGGAATAGGTTTGAAAATAAAGAAATATAATTCATAATACTTTAACATATGAAAGGCCCCTAATTTGACTATATGTCTCATATCGATGATTTAGACAAATTAGGTTAAAAAAGGAATGGTTTTAGTTGAAAGGCAAGAATAGGAAGTTGTTCAAACATTTACTGCTTTAAGAGATTAGTCATAAATAACATCAACACTCACATAATATTGTACATTACAATGACACCATAACAACTTTTATACAATACAAAATATACAAATACACATACGCACATACAGGACGTGCACACATTACATTCTTTTTAAAGTTTATAAACACCGAAACTTTCCCAATCAGTTTCTTAATAAAGTACTCAAAGTAACTATAATTTGTTACTTTTAAAGAATGTGTGCTTTTATATTGCACAATAATTTTTTGGTTTTATTTAAAATCATCTTACTTATGTAAAACAAGTAGCTTATCTTAAAGGCTTGATTTTTCCTTCTATAGTATATGTAAAATAAAACTTTTACTTTATAAACAACTCAACATTCATGTACTGTAAATCCATGGAATGAATAAAACTCAAAATGCAAATAAGATGTTAACTGGAGGACTATGATTATTAAACTTTTCAGAAGGTTGTAATGACGATGATATTCTTGAAGATGGCCAAATCCCTCAAGAGTAAATGAATGAACACAGAAAAACGAATCACACACATAAGAAATGCAGTTAGAAATGTTTGGTTAAATGAGAAATACATTGACAAAATAAAATCTACCAACATGAATCACTTAAAGTTTTCCTTTTTTTAGAAAGGTGGAGCCTGGAATTCCCAAAGTACAGATGAAAAGCCAAAGACAATATGATTAAAGTAAAAGAAATGTTCGTAACAAAGATTATTTGCATGTTGGTGGATAAGTGGGTGATTTCTGGAGCTGTAAACTCATTTACTAAAAAGTTGAGAGAAGCACCGCTTTCGTCACTGCTAAATGCAACCATTCAGCCAAGTTCTAAAATGAGAAATGCTCTTGTCGCAAGGAAAATAATGCTGCTCAGCCGTTTATTGCTTTTTTACTCTCAAGTTTTTTTCTTCCTATTTAAGAAACGTAGGGAAAGCAACTTCAGATGCTTATTTTTATCTGTAAACATCCAGGAAAAAAAGCATTAAGTATATAACAGAACACTTTTTTTGTTTTCCTTTTGACTGTACCTCTATCTGGAGAATTTAGTAAAGTTGCAGATGAGGAGGAGAGCCGCTTGCTAATGACGGGATCAACATGTTTCGAAAGATTCATGGTGGAAACTGACCGCCTGTCTGGATCTAAAACAAATGGAGATAATGCTAATTGACAGCCAGCATGCAGGAGTGCAATGTCCTAGTTTACTGATGGAAGGAAAAACTAGGATTGGATGCTTTCAGCTCTATTTCTAGATCTTTCACGATAGCACAGTTTTCTAAGTGGACATTTTATAGGTAACTTAAAGGCTAGAAATAAAATCCATTATTTTATGGGACAGTATAAATACTCAGTTTACCAGCTGTCAGCCATGGAAATTCTAGGATATTGGAGGAAGACAAAAGGAAGGCCAGGGAAGGGCTCCTGAAATAATGGAGGCAGACTATGAACCAAAGAGAGGACCATAAAACTGAATGCCTTCATCATTTCCAAAAGTAGGAAGAACAGGGATGGACACTGCTGGTAAAATAGAATGCCAGTACTGGAATAAAAAGAACACTGGGCTCTGTGTATTTGCTGATAACTTTGCTTATAGAGTAATTATACCCAGGGCATTAAAGTTCATTACATAAGAGTAGATTTTTTTAAAAAAAGGAAAGAAAAACAAACACTCTAAGTGTGGTAGGATGGCCACTACAACCTTTCTTTTTTAAACGTCTACTAATAACTACAACTCTGTGCCTATGAGTTTAGGGTGGCTTACAAATATAGAATCAGTGCACCAACTTGCCCAACAAAACTGACAGCAATATAAATAAAATCATAATTCTTTACAAGTTTAGGAATAATATCATTGTTCATCCTGCAGTAATTTTAGAATAATTCCTAAATTTCAAATTAGAAGTGAAATAGCCATATAAAAGGCCAAAATCCGCTCTGGTAGTTCATGGGTACAGTGGAACCAAGTTGTAATCATGCTCATTAGAACAAATCATGTTCCCTGAATAAAACTGCATATAATGAGTCTAAAAATCTCATTATTGTATTTACCTAGGAGGCAGTTGGATGTTCTGGTCTATAATAGCCAAAGTTAAAGGGGTTTTGTAGTATTTTGTTTTATTTTCTATTGTTAGCTGCTTATAAAACCAAAACAAAAGTATTCGGTTCCCATTGGCCTAACTAACCTTGGCAGTAAAAATTTTGCAGTGAACTTTTTCCCACAGAATAACCACCTTTGACTATTATTTATAGTGCACTGGTAATAAGCAAATCTTCCATTAACATCAGACATTTCTATCTTCAACTGGGATTCATTTTTATTTTATTTTTTTTGGGGGGGGATTCATTTTTATGGTTGAAACAATTTTATTATTTTTAAAAAAGACCATTTTTGTGACTTACATTTATACTTAACTGATGGACTTTCAGGGCAATCCTAACATAAAGAAAAAGATTTAGGGTAAAACATCAAAAGGAACATCCTAATAATGAAATGAGAGGTACAGAACACAAGGAAGGATAACAAATGTCATTTCCAGATGATTTTACAGCAATACATTTTCTGATATTGCTTTACATATTAGGCTTTAGTTGGGGGAAAATTGTGTCTACATGCAGGCCTATCTTTAGGCAGATGTTCCATAGGTTATTAAAAAATTTAGTTCTATTTCAGAGTAAGTGGGAAAATGAGCTAGACTAGGTAGGTCTTCTCATCCAAAAAAAAAACCAAAAGAAAACAAAACAAAAAACAAACTGGGAATGGTAAAACACCTAAATCTGCCAAAGGTGGTTAAAATTATAGAGGTATAATTTGTTATATTATTTAAAACATGAGATAATTTTTACTTATTTTATTTTATTTTTTATTTTTTTGGTAGCTGGCTGGTATGGGGATCTGAACCCCTGACCTTAGTATTATAACACTGAATTCTAACCAGAGATAGGTTTTATTAATTTCTTTTTCTCACTGAACAATACACAAATTCACAAAAAGATTTATGAAGAAACAGTTTTAAAGTATAAAGTTTTACAGACCAGTGCTAGTTAATGTGTGAGCAGTTGGACAAGACACTAATTTTAACGTAGACAGTTTCTAAGATCTGTTTGTTGCTCAGCAAACATCGAATGGGTACCCATCATACGTCAGGTATTGTGAAGTAAAGGGTATCCAAAATGAATAAGACTGGTTCCCACTCTCAAGATCACAGAAGATCATACACTGATATTTGAGAATTTAGGCAAATTCTAATTACTTTCAAACAAACTTCTCTCTTCTAGTATACTAGCAATTTTCTCTAATTCACAGCCCTTATAAAAATGGATTTTATCCAACAATTCAAAAATGCAACACTGGTTTCTCTTGTTTTGAGTGGCAGTAATAAAAGTCATATATTAAACTCTGAGCATGGAAGCAAAGAATTAAGGCTAAACAACTTTATTTCCTCTCACAAATGTTTGCCAATCTGTAACAGAGTACATTTCTGCCACATACATGAAAGGCATAAAGCGAAGTGAAAGAAAAATAAGGTTATAAAAATATATGCCATAACAGCTTTTCTGCATGGACTGTATTCATATGATATAAAACTACCCCTAGAATGAAACATCACATATAAATGATCCTTATGATCACAGAGTTGATATGTGCTCTATCAAATACCACTGGGTCATGGAGAGCCAAGAAAAAAAAATGCTTTTGAATTTGGTTCACTGCTATAAGAAAGAAAGTCGTGTTGATACTCTTTAGATTTCTTTATAATAAAGGGTTTATCGACAATACATAGAATGTTAGGGATAAAGGAGAACAGAGCAAACAAACAAACAAAAAATCCATAGTAGTTTAGATTAAAACTAAAAATTGCAACAGCAGTATTGATTAGGGGGAAAAGAAGCTGAACTGGATGTGCTTTGATCCCAGGTCAGTTTTTAGCTGAAAAACATCTTTTAAAGGGTTTATCTAAACTGATCAAAGATGTAATTATGTTATTTCAACACCTTTAAGTCACCTGAGTCACACTATCACACTTAAGAAACACTGTGCCGATCTCGGATCTAGGTCTATGCAATAGGATATTAAGCATGCATTATGACTAAGGTGGTGATGGTTTAGCTATTGACGAACTGGCCCTAGGCTTGAGGTGCTAGCTACAGGTCAGGCAATCAGCAATCACAGGGATGTCTGTACCAGATTTTCTAGTACCACCAAAAGTTGTCAAGTGGTGGTCCAGGCCTGCTAAATCGAGAAAGGTGAATGATGATTCAACAAAACCACCTGGGGACAGAATGTAAGACAATGATTTTTCAAAGTAAATTAAAAAAAGTTAACTGGACTCAAACAAATGAAAAAGAACTCACACACTATGTATAATTTAAGGTGTATTGAATTTACAGTACAAAAATAAAGCCTTTCACTAGGTCCAGATTTCAGTATGATTTTATGCCCATTCAAGAAGAAAGAAATAGCTTCGACATCTACAACTATTTCTAGCTTATGAAACCTGCATATTTTCTTACAGAGCATTAATGTTGCATTGCTGACTTTAGGGTCAGAATACACAATATGGATTTTGTATTTTGATTTTGCTTATAGTACTAATTTCACTCTTACTATGATTCTTCCAGAGAAAAATCTAAAACTGGTTAACAAAAATATGGTTAACATATTCCATAATCCTGAAACCCTTATGAAAGTGAATTACTAAAATAATATAGAGTTGAAACTAGCATGTTTATTTAGAAACACTATGTAGATTTCTCTCTTTAAGGAATTCTGCAACACAGAAGAAGCCTGTGTTAAGGGAAAGAGAATCTTATCTCCTTATCTCCATCACCCTCTTATCCTCAAACAATGGAGTTTAATTGTAGTTTAATTATTTAAGGAGGATTTTTGTTTTGCAAACATAGATTTAGAAAAACGAAGCAAATGCACTTTTACTGTCCTGGAAAAAGGGGGCAGATTTTGAAAGTGGTCACTGTCTCTTTACCTGCACTGTGGATGCTGGAGCTCCCATGCAGGGGGCTGCCCCATGACCACCGGTTATACTTCTGTCTTGGCTTCTGGCTCCTTTCCATTGTACGCCGTACAACAGCTTCATGGCGTTCCTTACATGGAATAGAGGAGCCAATGATTAGATCCAACCTGTTTGTTTGAAGCTTCTTCAATGTGGGGCAGAGTGGAGTGAGGGCTACTACTTACATTTCCACCTTGCTACTCCTAATCTATTTCCTAATGTCTACACCTTATCTTAAGGCAGGAATAATAATATGGGAGGTTATTAAAACCATTAGGGCCCAGTTCATAAAGCCCTTGGTACATAGCAGGCACTCAAATAAACGACCCTTACTACCGGTGTGTGATGCTTTCATCAACACACATAAACACGGCGCAGGTCTTAGCTTAAATTGATGCTTAACACACATGGTACTGTGTTCAAAAACTGGAGTTGATAATATGAGAATATGGGTAATTCTGACCCCATGACTTATTGAATTGTACAACCTCATGTAACTTACCTACTCTGAGTCTAAATTTCCATTTTTGAAAAAACTGATAAATAACACCCAAGGGTTGAGTAAAGGTTAAATGAGATCATCTATGTGAAAACGTTGGTAAATGGTAAAGCCCTACAGAAACCCAATTACTTGGAGTGGTCTCACTACTTCTGTCTGGACGAATTGAACATTAATAAGTCATAGGTTTTGACCAGAGAAATGGGCTTTTAAAGTTTCTGTGGCAATGATAATATGAGCCCATTCTGTACCTGCCTACCACACTCCCACCTCCCTAGAATGGTGGCTGCTGTAACACTGATTACTCCACAACCACTGTGCTGCGTGCATCCCGGCACCTGAGTAGAAAGTTTCACAGGAAGTCTGCTGCGTTTCTGAAATAGAGGAACCTCGCCATTCTGCCCGGGGGCGTGTCACCTTGTCCTCCTCCAGCCTCTGCCTTCGCTTTTCCTCCACAGCAGCCCTCCTCCGCTCCTCCTTCAGCCTCTGCTCCTCCAACTTCTTCTTCCGTTCCTCCAGGTGCTTTTCATAGTACTGCCTGGCTCGCTCCTCTTTTTCTAACCAGATGATTTCTCTTGCAGCTTCAGGGAGAAAAAAAGAGGGTAATCAAATACAGGTAGGTTTAAAACTTGAATAGGTAGGGCTGTATTAAGTGGTCCGCAGTTCACAAACATGGATTCTTTCACTTTGGATTAACCAAGCATGGTCTTTGCTTTCCTCAAATTTCTGGGAAAAAAAATACTATTGTTAATTTTTTAGCATAATTTGATATGCTAACAATGAAGTTGAAGAAAATACACTGAATCCTACTCTTTGGGAACCCATACAGCCCCCTAGTTTGGTACAGAATAAGGCATAAAACCACATGCTCTCATCTCAATATAAACCACATGCTCTGTCTCAATCCTGATATGAGGCGTCATGTTGATATGATGTCTCAATCCATCATATTGATCTGATGTCCTCAAAATCCGTAGTACCATCTATCTCTGTCTTTTTAAAAAAATTTATATATATATATATTTTTTCATTATGTCTCTGTCTTTTTTAAAAATGTGAGTTCTTCCAGCCTGTGATTATATTTCTTTCAACACAGCATTGGTTCTCTGTAAGTATTCACAAAAATCTGGGGAGAAAGTAATTCATTGATAAGAGAGTATAAAGTGCCCCCCAAGTATATCACACTTAGTCAGTCAAGCGAGGTGAAGGACCACCTAACCAGCGACCTGTGTCTGAGGAGTTCACACTCCAGTTAGATAAAAGACAACCCTATTGAAAGCTGAATGAATTTCAAACCACATTGTTCGTTCACAACGGAACACTTCTGTTCTTTTTTATATAATGCATGTTCCTTCCTCATTTTAGGAGAAAATATGTACCACAAAGCTATTTTCTTTAATGTGATGCTTCTTTCAGCTGTGATAATCAATATAGTTATTAACGCTGTAGGCAAAAGTGTCCATACAAAACTTAGAGCATACACCTCACTGAGGATGCTACACAGCATATAAATTAAAATGTTACCCTTTAAGAGAAAAAGTGGAAATTTGGAACATTTCAGTTTCCTCTAAATCTTTAATATTAACGATTCTGCATTTCTGATACCATTAAATCTTTCCAAAGTTAATTAGCTATGTTTGTATGTATGTGTGTATTTTGGGGCAGCTGTTTTGTATGTATGTGTGTATTTTGATAACCCCTGGACCTTGGTGTTATCAGCCCCATGCTCTAGCCAAATGAGCTAACCAGCCAAAGTTAGTCATTTGAGGAGATAAATCTACTGAACCAGATCTGAATTGCCTTCTTTAGTGGAAGGAAAAGGACAAGGACAAATTCCAGGTGTGCCTGTCCTTCTGGTATCACTCAGGATGGTGTGTGGAGAGAACTGGGACTGGCACTACAAAGCTCTGCCGCTAATGGGTGCTGAGACCTCAGACAAGTCCAAGTGAATTCAGTTTTCTCTTGCCTAAAATTAGGAAATTGATTTTCAAGGTTCATACCAATTTTAAAAGTCCATTATCCTAAAGAAATTCTCAGGCCCAAGATAAAAATTTACTTCAAGAGAAAGCACATAGTATGTGCTCAATAAATATTTACTGAATGACTAAAGCCACCCTGAGAACACACTTTAAAAGTTAACAAAGAACCGAATTCTGACATTTAAGACAAACCTACTTTGATCACATGCGCTCATGCTCATAATACCTTTTGTATTTTCTATATAGGAATACCTTACCTGCAGACTTTTAATGATAATATACATTTTAATTGATTTAAAAAAGGCAGACTTCCATAGATTTTTTCAAAGCTTAAGCAGTACAAAACATTAAAAAGTGACATGATCATCTTTCTCTAACCTTAGACCCTCTTATATTTTACTTTCATTTCTTAAAACAAATACTATACCACAGTATATCTACTATTCTGCATGTTGCTTTTTTCACTTAAAATATATCTTAGAGATAGTTCCACATCAACACGAGACATGAATCTAACAATCCTTTTTGATGGCTACATAGTATTTCATTGTCTACGTACCTTATTTTATATAACCAGTTACCTACTGATTGATCTAAGTTGTTTGTAGTATTTTACTAATTCAGGACTTGAGTAACACCATTGTACTATCATAAATCTCCACGCAGACGTATGAGCATTTCCACATAAAAGTAGAATTGCTGAATCAAAGGGAATACACATTTTAAATTTTGATAGATGTTGATAGATACTCTGTCTCTGTGGAGGTCATACCAATTTATACTCCTACCAACAATGTATGAAGGTCGGAGGCAGAAGAAAGAAACAGATTTGTACCCTGAGACCCGTAGATATATGGTATGAAAAATCCATTTCCTAACTTTTAGCCTTCAAACTATATAGTCTTTGACTTTTATATACCTTTTCAAAGAAAATTTCAGATTCTTTGTGAACATTTATGTCCCCAAACATAATATATTCTTTTCCTATAAGAGATCTAGAAGCCAAGAAAATAAGAAATAAAGATGTTTATTAAATATTAAGAAAATATTAAAAACCTAGTAAGAAAAAATTTGCAAAATAAGAGTTAATCCACAGAATAATTTTTCTTAAATAATGTCTTCATCAGTCTTTCTTGTTCTTGAATACTTGTGACTCTCTATTTCTTCATTAAATTTAAACTCTCCTGATTCCTAAAATCCTACTTGGCCTTAATATCCTATTTGGCCTTCCTCCTCATTGCTCTCCAAAATAGCTTCTTCATTCTAATTGGATTAGACTCCTTACTGCACCTCCTAACAAACTATGTTTCTCCCAAATCTCTGCTCCTGTTACTGCCTTGTTGGGAAAGCTGCCATCATTTTTTATCCAAACTGATCCACCCCTTAGGGCAGTAGCCTCATAGTTGTAACGTACATCAAAATAACCTCTGGAGGGGTGTGTGTATGTGGGGGGTGGAGGGGTGTCTACTTAAAATGGAGATTCCTAGATTCTAATCCTTTTATTCAGATTTACTAATTCAAGGATGGGGCCCAGTAATTTGCATTTCTAGTAAAGCTGGAAGGTTATTCTGAGACAAGTGGTCCACAGATGACATCTGGAGAAACACTGCACCTTATGGTCTTCTGTGGAAGCCTTGTCTTTTCCACAGCTCATTGCTGCTACTAGGACACCTACTGCAAACTTTAGCATTTCCTCTATTCTGATTTCTATGTAGCAAAGGCTTTTTTTTTTTAACACTCTCCATAGTGCATTTCACAACTTGAACACATCCAAATGTCTTAATAATTACTTCCTGATTCATTGTGAACTACAGGATTTCCTGATTCATTCCCCCCAAATGTGTGGTCCTGGTTACTTAACCTCCCTATGCCTCAGTCCAGTCAGGGTAAGTTGTGGGTAAAAACAAGACCTTCCTCATAGATTCACTGTGAGGATTAAAAAGATAAATACACTTAACATAGTTAAAATAGCTCTCTGTACTTAGTAAACATTAAGTAAATATTAGCTATTCTTGTCATTGTCTTCGTCATCATCATCATAATTTATAATTTCAGTTCAGAAAATAAAGGTAGTACTTAAGATTGTGCCATAGATCACAACAGGGCTAGACATTATTACAATAATAGTTAGTTTTATCCCAAACAATCTTTTGAAGGAAGAATATTTCTTCATCAATCAAAGTTTTATTGAGTTTCACTTCCATTTTCTACCAGGAAGTAGAGATCCTAAGGCAATGCCTTCTTCAAATAATTATCTTTAAATAGTCATACAGAGAACAAGCAAACAATGTTGAAATAGCAAACAACACTTTCTTATTGCAGGGCATGCTGGTAAGTGCTAAAATTATTACTAAGCACAGATCATGCAATCTTTTAAATTGAAGGACACAAAATATTTCAATATTTTAATAAGAATTTTAAGTTAATTTATTCTAAGAGTTTTAATAATTTAAAATATTCCCTTATAGATGGTAAATAATGTCAAGGTTGTGTATTTTATCATTTGGAAAAGAGAATTTTGGATATAAGACAAAAATCAACAATTGCTATGAATTATGTCCCTCCCCAAATTCATATGTGAAACTGTAACACCAAATGGGACTATATTTGGAAATAGGGCCTTTAGGAAGTAATTAAGGTTAGATGAGGTCATGAGGGTGGAGCCCTAACTGAACAGGATTACTGTCTTTATAAGAAGACACACAAGAGAGCTCCCTTTCATTTTGTGCAAGTGTGCTCGGAGGAAAAACCACATGAAGACGAAGCGGCCCTCTGCAAGCCAGGAAGAGAGCCCTCACCGGAAACTGAACCAAATCTTGATGATGGACTTCCCAGCCTCCAGAACTCAGAGAAAATAAGTTCCTGTTGTTTAAGACACCCAGTCTATGGCATTCTGTTATTGTGTCCCTAGCAGATTAATGCAATCATCCAGGACGTAAATTATTAACAATCACTTCATTACATAAAGGGGCAGCTCTATTAAAGAATGGTATGTCCAAAAAAGGGATTGTGATATTTTTACTGTTCCAAAGTTATAATTTATCCCTGGACTATGGGATCATAATACAAAATGAAATGAAAACCCACTGTAGCCCCTGAAATACTGGACATTAACAAGTTAGTTCCATCCCTGAACTGTTGCCACCAGGATATTTTAATGAGACTGTAGCAGTATGTCAGTGCCATACAAAGGGGAAATCCACTATCAGTTTGGATTGCATTTAGAAACACGCAGTGATTCTTCGTACTAAAAGGAACTTAAAACGAAAAGAAGGGTATCGTGGTGGGTAGAGCATAGTTTCTGACTTCACAAGAACTTGAGTCCACTCCCAGTCCTGTCACTTACCAGCCACGTGCCACTGAACAAGTAATAATTTCTGTGGTCTTGTTTCCTCAAATTACTACAGCACCTTCTTCCTGACAGGGTTGTTGCGTGGGCTCAGGGTAAAACATAAAGCACTTAACATAGTGCCATGGAGTTAATAAATGCAGACAATGACAGTGAATCTTTATGATACACATAATAATTCCTGTCCTATTGCCACAGAGAGCATGCAGCTAACAGGAAGAACACAGGTAGGAAAGACAACTCAGCTAGTGTA